GATTGAGCAAGCACGCACGGACTATTGATCTCTACAGTGTGATGTGAATTTACTTACAGACACAATAATCTACAATTTTCAAAATGTGTTTAGTCTGATTTTTCATCATTTCACAGTGAATTACACTAAAATTATAGTTATATACACTAAAATATAATATAATGTGGGTCATAAGTTACAACCTAATGATATTCAGTTGTTTCTGTATCATATTCTGATGACAAACATTTATTTTTTTATAAATAGTTGATATCAGAATATGATGCAGTATGCATAACATAATTGCTTTATTGGAAATTACGCCTGGTATTTTATTTGGTAGGTAATCAAAATACAATAACAGTATGGAATGTTTCAATTCTGTTTGGTCATCAAACTTTCCCAACAAAACGACACTTAACGTACGATTTCATAAAGAAAAAAGCTAAAATGTTGTCAAAAGCATATATTATACGTTATTGTGCGCAAAAAATAATTATAACAAAGATATGAACGGAACGAAAGAATAAATTTTTATGAAAAACTTACTGAATAATAAGTCTTTCTTGTTTAGATTTTCGTAATTATAAAAGGTAACGTCTTATTGTATTGTGAAACAGACTCGTAATTTTATGTTAGATCAAAATTATACTTTTTACGAATAATTTATTCGAATAACGTGCAATGTATGTGTTTTCGCCATATGTTAAAAATCCGACATCTTCAGACCCTACCTCTACAGACTACAGTTCTTTAGCCACACTTCAACCGAGCTTATTGTCCCAAACAATACACCGGCTCGCCATTGTCCTTCTTTACCCGCACCCAATGTTTTCTTAAATCATACAATTGTAGCGATCACGCCGCTACGAAATGCGCTAAAATGAATCGGTTACCATTTTCTACTATTTGAAAATCATTGCAGAAAGTATACGTAACGAACAAAACAGATGCAGCAATGGATTTTATATAACAACGATTGCGCAAGCTACCGCGCTGCGAAAACTTTTCGCATCGCAAATTTTTTAAACGTCTCACTTTATAAGTCTATTCGTCGTTTACTTAAATTAAGTTTGCTTACCACCACCATTCATTAAATTTCAGATTACTTATGATTCTGATGATATGATTATTTCACTTCAGTTATTATTCAGTAACTTTAACGTTTTTATTTAGTACATATTTCGTTTGTGACTGTAGTGCAGGATTAAAATGTATTATGGATCCGATTCAAATAACTAAATTATAATAATCGAATTCTATAAGGAATATTCTCGAACGAGAATAAACATTTTACGATTATAAACATTTTCGCTTGAAATTTGTATCGACTGCAGATGACGTTACACTAACATGTTTATTTCATTTCGTCTTGTTTTTGAGCACTTTTATTTTGCACGCCGTGACTTTAATCTTGAAGAATGTGGAGTCACATCAAATATTAAAGACTAATACGAAGTGTAATTGCAAAAACGACGTGGTATGAGCCACGTCTTTTTAAGTCGTATATTATTGTATCGTAATTTATTGAAAGCCTCCTGATTAAAATCTAAAAGCGTTCACCTCAATCTAAACTTAAAATTAATTAAAAGGTGCAACCTCTGCAACCCTACGGGTGTTGCAAATGTCAATGGTCGGTGGTTGTCACTTAAAATCAGGTGACCCGCCAGCTAGCTACCTATTCACTTTAAAAAAAATACTAGTGTAAGAAAAAAATGCCTTCCGTTCTTCGCAGTTCCCTGTTCTTATTTCATTAAGCATACAAGCACTAAGGAAATAATGCGCTTAAACGACTGATCCGTTTTCGTAATACATTTAAGCAGCGAATGGAGAATTGAAACGTTAGAGAAAGTCGCGAATTTTGCAGTTATCGGCGCCTGTTGTATATGTAGGCGCAGTGTAAATAACTACGTATAACATGATAAATAGTTACGTTCTTGCTTCAACGAAGTTGAATTTTAAGATAAAAATTATTTTACAGCAGATCCAGTTTGAATAAAATCTTTTGAAAACGTTCAAGAAGTACCAGAAAATATTCTAAACGAATACAAATATAATTATATCTTATATAAAAGTGTTGTTTATCGCCGCATTCGCATTTTGAATATTTATTCTGTCCGCCGTTATATATATTCACATAATGTATAGTCTAAATAATAACCTAAAATTTACATTTGAAACAATATTGTTTTATTGAAACAATATAATTTATAATTCACCCCTGATCGACCCTTGATCTCGTATCACTTGTCGATAAGCGTTTTAGTTGAAACTTTAATCAAATTATGTTTCGTTATTGCAAGCAGAGCAGACGATCAATTATTCTCATAATATGTATTTATTGATCGCGTGCCACAGTCAATCCTATATATTGGTTAATATCGCGTGGATAATGTTTGAAAGCACAATTCTCCACGTCTGATTTAACTGTATGAAAGTACGAGAAAACTTGGCAACTCGAACAGCAAAATATCACGCTCTCAAGGAGAAGTAGAGATATCCGATGTCTTATATTCTCTGGTCTTCGTAAAATTGTTTTTTTTTTTATCATTGACTGGCCAGTACTTGGCCAAGATGGTAGTTCAGGTAGAACATTCGTTCTTACCTCAAGAAAGAAGTCAGATAAATAGTAAGCCGAGCTGTCTTCATGATATGTTATGTTTAATAATATAGATGACGCACGTCCATACGGCTTTAAAAAAAAGGTTCCGCTTTACATTATATGACATACGTAAACATTACATGTGACTGATGTATGATATGGAAAAAGATAGCAGTCTTTACAATTGCAATCTAATTTTACCAATTGGTGTAATTGGAGTGTCTCGTTTTCGCTAGCGTCATATCTACCTCGTATTTGTATATAATATCATTGATTGTACATGGGTATGCGACTTTTCGACTGAAATTATTGTCAGAGCATCCTGTCACTGTCACGATGTGACATCCCGAGTATCCGTAGAAACTTGGATGGATATTGAACGGTTTTGCAAGCTTAAGTGTGATTGATACACAAGTGTGTACTGTCACGCATTAATGACACGTGTCATAAGCATAAATTTATGTGAGGCTTCTGTCTCGGGATGTTGGTGGATCGATAAGCAGTCCGGGCATGCATGGACCGACTACTATAACGAGAGGCGCTTCTTTCCTAAGATTATATGTCGACCGAGCATTATCTTAAAGTTAGTTGGTATTTCAAATTATAAAACGTTCTGCTTACTACCATCGCTTAAGTTTTGTTGTATTTCTCCCTTTTGATGGTTCCGTGCCCAAAGGGTAAAACGGGATCCTATTAATAAGACTTCGCCGTCTGTCCGTCTGTCACCACTGTCATCTCATGAACTGCGATAGTTAGGCAGTGGAAATTTTCACAGATGATGTATATCTGATGCCGTGATAACAACAAATAATAAAAAAACAGAATAAAAAAATTTTTAAGTGGAGCTCTCCCGTGAAACAGACATGATTTTTTGCCGTTTTTATAGATAATGTTACGCAACTTGGCCTATTTTTAAACAATAGAAAGAATTTCCTAAAGCACTTATGGTGGCAGCTCTTTCAGTTGTGCCAATGGTCTTACTACGTCGACCTTATCACCTTCTATGATTAGTCCAAACGTAAATTGGAAAAACGTCAGCAACGCTCAGGTCACAGTAAGCATTTTTTTTTAATGTGAAAAGTTACCAAACGAGCAGACGCTTCACCTGATGTTATGTCAATACCGCCGCCCATAGACATCTGCTACACCCAAGGGTTTGCAGATAAAAATTGTTCTCGGCGTTGACAACCTTTTTAGAAATTGGGCTCCGGCTACCTCACTCACCAGACTAAACGCGAAAGTATTCTGTGAGGTCGTGGTACTTACCCGGACGACCCTGTCCATTCGTGCAACAGTCGAGGCTGCTGCGTGGCCTACCACCTATACAACAGCTTAACAAATTGTAGCAACTCCACGCGGTACGTTCTGCCGTGTCACTAGTTGGACCCATGTGTACGTCACCATTTCTAAACTAAACTAACTATATACTAAACAACTCTATAGACAAATCGAATACGCGACCTCGACCTAGTCATAACAAAAAGGTTTCACCTTGACCGTTAAACATGTAATTCGATTTTATCTAAGACTAGCTGACTCGGTAAACGTTGTTTTGCCATATAAATTACTAGCTACTGCCCGCGACTACGTCTGCGTAGAATAGGCTGAAGGCGAAATATTCAGACAGAAAAACAGATATACATAAAAATATGTATACAAATTATAGCCTATGTGTTATTCTGATGTATAAGCTATATTATTGTAAAGTTTCATTAACATACATTCAGTAGTATATGCGTTAAAGAGTAACAAACATCCACCCATACATACATACTTTCGCTTTTATAATATTAGTAAGGATTCAGTGCCCTATTAACGTAGTGTGACTATCTTGTCATAAGCTTAGGGATTTAGTACGATGTGTCGTCACGTGTATTCCTTTAGATTTAGCCTAGCCGTTCTTATTTTGTTTACTTTTTTTTTCGTTTCACATACATTTTCAACAATACATCTGATAATCGATAATCTGCCTTCTAACGTGCCTTGGGGAGTTCGGGCTGATAGAGATCAAGAACAACGAGTGTATGAACTCAGCCCTCCACGCGTCTTTATCATCATTGGATGACGTTTTATATTTCAATCTTATGGAAAGTGAAACGGTTGATCGTATATAGGGAATGCTTCAAGGACTCTCGGCACTTTAAGACGCCCGCTAGTGGGGTCACGCAGTACAACGCGCAAGTGACGTCATTGAGACTAGTGATCGCAACTTGACAAAAGAAACTAACTATCTGTAGTTCACTGGCTCACGACTACCCACAGCTCTGAGCGCAGGCGCACGTCCTAACCGTACCGCGTCTACTGCTAGACTGCCAGGAGTGCGAGGCCGTCGCTACCCCCTCTACTGGTGTACACGAGACAATGTATTATATCTATTAAATAGATAGAAACACTACAGAGACCATCTCGAACGTTCCAGAACGGCGACCTGTGCATATCGATCCTCCACCCGCCCGTCGACGACCCGCAGTCGGGCGAGCTGCCCTGCGAACGCTGGAACCCCACCCAGTCGGTGCGCACCGTTCTGCTCTCGGTGATATCGCTGCTCAACGAGCCGAACACATTCAGCCCCGCGAACGTCGACGCGAGCGTGATGTACCGCCGCTGGCGCGACTCCAAGGGCAAGGACAAGGAGTACGAGAACATCATCAGGTAAACAAAACGCCCTTCGCTCTTACGGCGTCATCTATTCACAACGTGCCCACCTGCCGTTGGATGTTTTCGAAGTAACAATGAAAAATGCATTTCTGAGATGTGACGTCATGCTGGGGTCATTTAGTGGATACACCTTTGCAAATACATATATTTTCATCTAAGATGTGTTGTAATACGTGCTCAGAAATATTGGGCAAATAATGCCCCCAATGGGGATTTCTCAAACGTGAAGTGGCGTACGCGATGTGCGTCCTGATAAGTACCTAAAAGTTAAACAATTTTTTGATCATAAGTTTTTTCGTCCACATTTTTCTTTTTTTTTACAAAATAACATTGGTCTTATTTTAAAATAACATTAAACTGCCTTGTAAATACGTTTTACGTTTTAATTTCACGTCGACAAACATTCAGATTCGATACATTTATATGCGGGTCACACAACACAAATAGTTGTCTCGAGTGGGAACCGAACCCACAATCCCCTTAAGTCCGCCTTTGTACATATCTAATGCATTAATCGTAATGCATAAATAAATAAATCGTAATAATAATATAATGAACTTTATTACTAAATGATTTTATTTTGTTACATTGATTGTTTCATAAGGTTTCAAAACCTTATGAAACAAATCATAGAAGAATTGCATTACCGCTTCCGTAAACTATGAAAGATTTAAACAAGTATATGTACTCAAATTATCTAACGTAGATAGATAAAAGGCAGTTCATACATATTATTTTTACTTATATATCGTACGGCGCAGGCCTGGATTTCTTATTTTTGCAAAGACTATATGTAAAATACTGTTTTGCAATTCACTGTGCTCCCCATATACCAATGATTGAAATGGTAATGTTGTTATTGAGGTTTCGCCATGCTGAATTGTAAAAATGTTCCACGAAATAAATTTAGCATGTTACACTCGTCTCAGCAGTTTCCTTATTTGATTCCAGCTTGCAAATAAAACACATTTGTCTATTTTGATCGTTTGCCATACAAGGACGACAGTCAACACCACAGTGGAACGATAACGTTCGGACGAAGTTCATAACATTTTTTTGTCAAAATTTAGCGTCATATTCGAATGATATTTTTCATTCCCTGAAAACAGGGATAAAAGGACATTTTCTAAAAATGAAACCTAGCTAGATCGATTTTTCGCCCCCGAATCTACGCACACACTAAATTCCGGATTATATATATAGGAGATTCAAGTTATATATTGCTCGTATTAAAGGTATTACGATCCCTGCCTTAGTAAAAAATTGGTAACTAACGCCCAGTTTCGGAAACACTGATCATCGTAGAAATTAACTAATCAGCTGTCAAATGTCTTTTAAAATGTTACATAAATTTGAGTTGCCAAAACAATGGTTAAACTGTCTAAATTGATCAGAACGATCTTCTTAATGATCAGAACTATTGAATCAATTCAATAGTTTCAAGATTATATTATATTGATAATTCCTTTATAATTTTTAAACACTATGTTTCACCTTGTTTTATAAACATTTTTATTCCGAAATTCAGAACGAAAATTGCGTAATAGCAAACAAACCATATTGTTATTTAATAAAGGACAATCAGAAAAAACTGTGAAACACATCCAATCGATTCAAATTTCAATAGAATTTAAAAATACTTGCGATCTTTCATTTCTTTTGTTACTTTAATACTTAATATGTAACCGTGATAATGTTTAGCGTTGTGGATTGACTTCAGAATCAGGTGACCCGGTTAGGTACGCCGCGGTCGCCTGAAGATGAGTTTTTCGGGTCGTAGGTAAGAATTGAATTGAAAGCTCGAGGCGCGAATCTTGATGTAAAGTTTGTAAGGATGTAGATCTGATTGAAGTTTGTCGGAGACGCAATGGAGTAGTATAATAAAAAAAGATCTATTATGATTGACTATTGAAATGTTTATTTTATCTGATGGTCGGTCGGAAATATTAAAAAATTGAATTAAATTTTTCGATGCTCGCAACGCTGAAATACTTTAGTCCCTTTTCTACAAATTTTGACGTTTTGTGTGAAGTACTGAGATTAGCAGTATAAAAATTAAATGTCATATTATAGCAATAGCGACATCTCTCGTTGGAATTATCGTTATAAAACGATATTTGAAATTGTTTGTATAGGTTACTGTAAATGATACAACAATAGATGCGTCAAGCTGTGCTTAAAATGTAAAGAACAATGCAGATAAAAGACGTTGAGATTTTCGTTTTTGGTGTCGCTGTTTACCTTAGTGATTAAAGCGTCTGGCGGCGAATCCGAAAGACGTAGATTCGATACCCGAAGCGGAGACAAACGTCGTCTTTTTTCTACAAATTACATTAAGTAAAATTTAAATGTCTATATTTATTTTTGGAGGTCGTATAGTGAACAAATATATATCTTTATAGATGTAGATATTTATATGGTATTTCGTTTTGTAAAAAAATGCTACAGTAATTGATTATTGTAGCAATTTTTTTTAAATATTATATCTCGTACACTCCGAACCTTTAAATATATCCTCACCAACTAGTATCGATTTTTTATATAGCGCTTATTTTATGTACCAAATGTACTTGAACAACAAATTATTTGCACATCACAGGAAACAGGCGCAGGTGGCGCGCATGGAGGCGGAAAAGGAAGGCATAGTTGTACCTCTAACGTTAGAAGATTACTGCATCAAGACTCAAGTAAAATCGACCACACAGGAGCCGCAGGTAAAGAAAGCCCCGCTTAGAATAATCAATACAATCTCTTTAGCCATACATTCCGACCGCTTGGAAGGAGAAATAAGCAAAAAGTACAAATAGAAAGTGTACAATTTGCCGTTCAATAATAAACGCAGCCTGTGAAATAAAGCAACTACTTTTTTGACAGGATACAGCTTAAGAGTTGCTACGGGATAATAGCATTCTTTTATATAAGATAATGGCAAGCGAGCGTTCGGTTCATCTGATTTTTTAGTGATGACCGCCGCCCAACGACATTCGCAACACTCGTAAGGTTGCAATTGCGTTGCAATCTTCATCTTTTAACAAGTTGGCCTCGCTTACCTCACTGACGAGACGAAACGCAGAAGTATAACTTTTTAACTTCACGCCCAATCGTGCAACAGCGAAAACTATTGGATGGCCCTACCACAGTTCGATAAATTGCGGACGCATTTTTAAATGATCGCTATTTGAAATCGTATCGTATCGCCTAACGCTATGGGTTATAGGGTAGTAGTAGAGTAATAAATTAAGGGTTTTACGGTACACTGTACAGTGTTATGTATGCCTTGTGCATATTATATAATTTTAAATAACGAAAATTACAAACACAGCTGAGGACGTCTCTGATATGAAGGGATTCACCCAGCAGAAAGCGCTCCGTTTTTAGAATCCTCCGCAGAAATTACCCTCTCGGCCGTCCCCTGTGGCCCACCATTCGCCACCCGATCACAATTTGGGGCTATTGATTTCGTAACCGGTTCCGTTCGATGTACTTCTTCGGACACTATACACCCCCGTGATCGAGTGCATTCGTCCGTAATTCGACGCTCGATCCCGTGACATTGTATCGTTCCGCCCGCTCCCCAGTTGGACATGACCGACTTCTACGACGACGACTACGACGACCTCGACTCGGACTCGGACGAGGAGATCGAGGGCGGCGAGGGCGACGGCGACGACAGCGGCAACGGGGAGTCGTGAGAGCGCGCCCCCCCCACGCCGCCCGCGCCCCCGCCCCCGCCCCCGTCCCCGCCCGCGCCCGCGCCCTCGCCGCCCCCCGCGAGGGTGACGCGCTCGTGGAGCAGCAGGCAACAGGCGGCGCGCCAAAAGCCCTACAATAACGGTAAGCGACCGTAAGGCGACGCGGGGCGGTTGTCTATGGGCGGTGACGAGTGCTGCCGCTTTCGCATATTGTGACAGATGGCCACGGACTCTGGCTTTGTCCGTAAGCGAATCGTAACGTAAAGGCCAAGGCGAACGATCGACGGTCTATCGGCGGCAAGTGGGACGCATGATTTTTGACGGTTAAGCCGTAAATTATTCGTGTTGCGTTCGATTGTCTGTGGACCGGTGCGAGCGCCGAATCGTTTATGACAGCTAGATACGAAGTATGTTATCTGTAGTAAATTCAAAATTGAAATGTTGCCTGTGGTGTAAGCGTCCCGGCGTCGGTTCCGTATGCCACTGTCTGTGCGCAATTGGGGGATGTTATATATATACATGTTATATACCTACATAAATAAAAATATATATCGATTTTGGCTGTAAAAGTGCAGAATTACAAAGTTAGCTTTGTGTCATCGCTAATATTGTTATTACCCGCACGGATCGTGAATTTTTGTGATATTGATTAAAAATGAAATATGCTATTATAGTGTTTACTACGTCGTGTATACCAAATGTAAGTTTTGCAATTACAAAAATCGTACTAGGTAAATAACCGCCCACTTAAATCGAAAACCATATCACTGCCATTATATGAATGCAGGGAAATAATTGCGAAAGGTTTTCCTTGCACTATAAAAGAAACATTATCAATGTGCGTATTCAACGAGTAACGACGACACGAATATCATGTTAAGAAAATGTTTTTATGCCAGGGTGTACACATTATCGATGACGATGAATTGACACTTGTAATTTTGCTTATGCTCTTAAACTGTTTACTCTTGAGATCTATGTTAAAATTTATTAATTATTAAATATTTTAAGAGTATATTAATGATTCAAACAGGCAATACCCACATTGTTATTGCATTCTTGTATAGTTTTGTTTATCCCATTTATTAATTGATATAAGAGTTTGCAAATTTGCCATCATTTTCTATTTACTCGACCTGTTTGTAATGTCAGTCAAACCTGAAAATAATATGTTGTACATCTTCTATCCATCTTCATGATTTCTGTGATTGCAAAATATTATTTCTTGTTTTATAAAATCTTTCTTTGACAATCAATACAGATAAAATATCAATATTTAGTTATACATAATGTATAATAACATATGCTAACTTTTCTTAAATTGATATTATTCATCACAATCTGTGCTGGATCACTTCTTTGTAAATTAGCTTATTGTTGTAAAATAATATGACAGAAATAGTGTATTATCAATTTCAAGTTTAAATTTTCTTTATTATACTGCTACTAAGTAAAGTTTACAGAGTTGATAAAATGTATTCTTCTTTTAATTGCTATATCCATTTCATGTTCTTTATGCTGGTAATTATTTGTATTGAAAACTTATATAACTTAATCCAAAATTAATTGTTACCTTTTTGAAACAGATATAAAATAAACATCACATAGACAATTGAAATTGTATATAAAATGTGTCAGTTAATTAATAACAAAACTAAATAATGTATAGAAAAATGATGTAACTTTTAATAGTTGCAGAGTAAGAATGCTCAAAACATTATAATCTATGATTACTGAAAGCAGTAAAAATATAAAAACAATTTGTATTCAAACATGCCAATATGTGTTACTATGCATATGCTAATGAAATTATTTAAGTGTATTATTAAATAAAATAGTGTGCACTAGATAAAATTTTAATAAAAATGTAATTTTATGCATATATTAGTAAGGCTTAGACTTAATTGGACCTTAAAACTGATATCTGCAATTCATGTTTAACTAATTCTATTTTATGGTTAATGTAATTTATTTGTGAGCATACCACAAATTATAAAAAATACAATAAATGCCTGTGTGTCCTTAGGTAATTAGAATTTATTGCCTTGCACAGAGAACTGAGTAAATATAGTGTCATTTAGTCTTGTGTACTAATTATGTTTTAGACCAGTTGCTTTTTTGTCAGTCAAAATGGGTATCAGTGAATAACAATATCCTTAAAGTGATTAAAGAAAGCAGAATTTACAAAATCGTCCGAAATGTATCAGATATAGATTTAAGTTATGATAAGTGGTTTGGAAATTTAAAATTTGGTTAGGTGATTCACAAGGAGAATGTTAATTATGTAAAATATTCAATAAAGCATGTGTGCATGCTAAATATGTTTTTTTTATTCTATATACAACAAATGTATTATATATATTGACCGAATCTAGTCCCATTTGTGCTTATTGCCAAATATTTCTGTACTATAGCAGTTTTATAACATATCTTTGTCTGCTTACATAAAGACAAATTGGATTGGGATTTTATTCATGAGAAGAAGTTGGTAAACAAGCAAGTGGTTCAACTTAAGTACAGTGCTCACTACCTGCATACACTTTACGGGGCAAAAGTATAGAAACTTATACAGTAATAACTGCTTTCTTGTTGACTTACTACAATCTACTGATGGCTTGAGATTCAACTACGCAAAACTTGGATGTGCCTTATTGCAAAGGGATACATGTTCGACTGCCTTTTTTGCTGATTGCTGATGTCTTATCTAAATTAAGCTTTGGGCGTTTAATTGAGTCCTAGGCTAAAGCAGCGGCAATGATTTCTTTTATATTACACAAATACTGCACATTATGAAATACATACTATGCTATAATAAAGGAGGATATACCCATGGGTCTATATGACAGACCCATGGGTGCATTGCCAAGGGAATGGAATTAAGGCCATTGATGATGTCTTCACTCACTAATAAAAGTACACCAAGGAAAAACGGTTGCTCTGATAATGCTCCTGCCTTAACCCAAATTGATTTTCAGTGAGATTCTTACTGAAGTATTCTAACAGGTTGGCAATCATGTTCAATAATATACTATGTCATATGGAGACAGCAAGACCTAACTTTTTTTTCTTGGAGAAATACCTAAGCTTACGCCCACCCTCGCAAGGACAGGTCAAGTTGAACTACTTTTTTATATGAGAAGGTGGTAAACGAGCTGGCGGTACACCTGTTGCAACTATGCTGACATTTGGAACTCCCGTAGGGTTGCAAATGCGTTGCCACCTTTTAATAAAATGAAACGCAGAAGTATAACACTTCCATTTCACGCCGGTCTTCTGTGAGATCGTGGTACTTTCCCGGACGGACAAGCCCATTCGTGCGACGATATTTAAAAATATATCAATATCGGTCTCGATATATTGAAGAGAAAATATCGATATTTTCAGACCCGTTGTCCAAAAAAAGGTATGTCAAGTATATAACATTTGACATCTAAGTACTCTGTATCGGATTTGAATTTGAAAAAAAAATCGTTTTTTTTTTTATATGATTTCGATATTTTTTCGACATCCCTACACAATCTCCTCCCACCCTCTTAGTACGCAGGGTGGGGTCAGGGCCGGATTTAGGGGCAACAGGGGCCCCCACAATAGAGACTTCGGAGAAAAAAAATTCTAATTCAGACTAATAAACAACAGTAACAACTTTTCCTTTCATATTTTATACCTACAGTATACTTTGTACAAACCGTACCAAAGTTCACCTAATGTTAAGTGATAACCACTGCCCATGGCCTTTTGCAACACCCATAGGGTTGCAAATCCGTTGCCACGTTTAAATTAAGTGGGCCCGGGCTACCTCTCTCACCAGACGAAACGCAGAAGTGTAATACTTAACGCCGCTCTTCTGTGAGGTCGTGGTACTTACCCGGACGGACCTGCCCATTCGTACAACAGTGAACACTGTTGAGTGGCCCTACCACAGTTGAGTTGAGTGAGAACGTATACGGACTAAACTGGAAAAAAAAGTAGCCCGCTGAGTTTATTTCGCCGGTTCTTCTCAGTTCAGTGGCTTTCTTTTCCGAACCGGTGTTATTATTTTGACTTTAAATAAGTGAGTGTAATACTCCTATGTTGAATAAAGATATTTAAAAAGTAATTTTACCGCTGATTTCGTGCCAATACTGCGCAAACATGGTCGAAAGTCGTGCATGATCTTCTACGGACTACTATCTAAGAATTTAAGTGAGATTGTGGATTTTATGCTTTCATCCGTTCGGGACCTCTGTAACCAGGGGGCCCCATATCATTAATAGGCTGATACAGTGGTAGCTCCGCCCCTGATTATCAGTAGTAGTAAATTTCCAAATTAAATTTAAACAATTTTTTAAAGCCTTGTTTAGGATTTGTTCAAGGGAACATGAAAGCGTTTGGGGGCCCAAACGCTTTCATGTTCCGTCTTCAAGTTTATTACAAACATTTCAGTATATATGTCTTATCTATGATTACAAACTAGCCACTGAAACGTCACCCTTATTGACAAGTAGTGATTACATTCTCTTTGTTATTGACTGCTGCCCGCGACTACGTCTGCGTAGAATAGACTAACGTAGTGATTACATTCTCTTTGGAATAGACTGAAGGCGTAATATTCAGACAGAAAGACAGATATACATAAAATATGTCTATAAATTATAGCCTATGTCTGATTCTGATGTCTATGCTATATTATTGTAAAGTTTCATTAAAATCCATTCTGTAGTATTTGCGTGAAAGAGTAACAAATATCTATCCATACATACAAACTTTCGCGTTTATAATATTAGTAAGTATATTAGGAGGAATACTATGATTTTAGTTTTGTAAATATCGTTTTTAATTTAATATATTATTTATATTTTTAATATTCCGACTGAAGGACTGTATCCATGATCACGAAATAATTTTTTTAAAAAATGACCATTTGCATATAAGCACAGGCTTGCCAACTTAAGGCTTTTAGTCCCGAATTTAGTGCGTAAGATGCATATTACGCTTTTTTAGGGTGAAAAATTTATAGCTCTAATACGCATGAATATTTGGATAATATTTCATGTATTACTATTTTGACTAACGCAAGTGAATAAAGAAGCAAAATGCTTATTGATTTATATAATTAATGAAATGTTAACTAATATTAGCTTATTGTGTTCCTTATTCTAATTGTAATGAAAAGTAATTAAAATTTTGTTACATTTATTTACCTCAACAAAATGTGAAACTCATTTAAACAATGTCTTTGAATATACAACACAGGGTTTTTTTGGGTCTTTTGATAATTGCACCATCTTCATTTTACGGCTATTTTTTAAAATTAGTTGGCAATACTGTATTGACGTTAGGGATGCTAAAAGTAAAAAATTATTCGATATTTCGATGTTTATAAAAATATCAATATCGGCCTCGATATATCGAAGAGAAAATATAGATATATTGATATTTTCTTCTTCGGCCCTGTTGTCAAAAAAAACGTATAACAAGTATTAAATATTTTATTTTACAGACTCTGTCCCGGATTCAAATTTGAAGAAAATATAGTTTTTGATACAAAATTGAATTTTAATATCTATATATAGGATCAAAATATATCGGCTAAAATATCGGTATATTTTATAAAAAATATCGATATAACGATATTTTTTCGGCATCCCTATTAGACATCATTCATTAATATTGAATTGATATTGTTGGATTGGATATGGAAAAGATCACTTTAAAATAATTTAAAAAGAATTTATCAAGTGATTACTATTGTTACCGAAGTAAAGATGTTTACGCGTTCTAAGTTCTTAATATCTAGGGCTCTACATTTAAAAGTAATTCTTACTTTATTAATTTTTAAATATACTCCAAAGATCATGTTACATATTTATTAAATTTATTGCAGAATGTTTTTAAGGTGGAACATCAGAATGAAGCACGGTTTTTATACAGTATAACTACAAGATATCGGTCTACAACCCCACTTAACACAATAATAATGTTTGTTCCACAACAAGAGGTTAGTTTCTGTTTGTTATTATTAAGGATACTTGCACTTGTAATGAAATAAGAAATAGTAGTAGTGAATAGTCTGGCTAAGCCCTTTTTGAGGAACGTCATGCTTGCACGGTGTCTTGGTAAAATTCTGTTTCTTAACTTTAATACCAATGTAAGTTGAAAAAGTTAGCAAAAACCATTATATGATGCAATAATATGTTAATTACTTCTTATAATATTAATACATTATATATTGTAATTATTACAGCGCGGGCCCTAGCATTTGATCAGAGTAGAGCAAGATTGTCTTTCAGTACCCTTTAGTTAGTGCATTCACTTTGTTAAATTGTACTTTGGCTTTATGTTAAATAATAACAACCAATTTTTTCAAATCAATTTGTTGCAAGCATCGTTTTTGAATTTAAATTAAATCCATTGGCTGTAGTTTTTATACCTATGTATCTTTAAATTTGAGAAAGTTTCTACTGCTACATAATTAAATTGAAATTTTGTTTTAATTTCAGTCATTAAATAATAAAGTCCGTTATCTATATAGATACTGTAATATTTAATTGAAGAAAAACATAATTTTTATAAACATAATAATCACATTTCTTTTATGGAGAAAAGGGGCAAACGAACAGGAGGCTCACCTGATGGTAAGTGATTTCCGCCACCCATGAACACCTGCGACACCCGAGGGCTTACAAATGCGTTGCCAGCCTTTTAGAAAAGAGTATGCTCTCTTCTTGAAGGTTCCCAGGTCGTAACGGTTGTTACCAACCATCCATCTTCCTCCTTTATGCCATCAATGTGGGGTCTGCATAACATGTGAATCATCTTGGTAGTGGTCTTGGCTAGGTTTTTTTGCATGCCTCATGCCAACCCTATTTTTTACATTTGATGCTTGATCTAAATAAAAATAAATAACTCTGATTATTACACCCCTACTTCATCAACATTAGTATTTGTTATTTTCAAATAGTCACTAAATAGTAAACTAAAGGTGCCATTAATATTTTTTTATGTAAAAATTACTTTTTGCGTTTAATTGCTAGTGGCCCTTGATACCTGGAGCCTTGAGCGACTGAACCTCTTACTCTACCCCGGTGCCTGCACTGAATAATTGTTTAATATTTCTTGTTAACTGCTCATGGCTTAATATACTTGTATACAAACTATTTTATAATCATCTCTATCTGACCCGTGATCATAATTAAATGCTGATAGTGTTTGTGACTTCAGAAAATTGACAAACATACATATAAACTCTCTAATCTGTATTTGTATTTTGTGGAATGAATGTTAATCCTGATTATGAACAAATATAAATAAAACTGGGTAAACCTATTGACATCAACTGTTTATAATTTCCTGAATATATTATATATATTTATATAATAAATATAAACAAATTTTTAGGCATGGATTGTTGAGCGTATGGGAAAATTTCACAGATTACTAGAGCCAGGCTTAAATCTACTGTGGCCAATTGTAGATAAAATTAAATATGTACAAAGTTTAAAGGAAATAGCAATTGATGTGCCTAAACAAAGTGCTATTACTTCAGATAATGTTACACTGAGTATTGATGGGGTACTCTACCTTCGAATTGTGGATCCTTATTTAGGTAAATATAAAGTGCATAGTCAACCCATATTATTTTTTGCATTTATATGTGTATAAATAAAATTATTTGTTAATAATTTTCCTGCACTCTGAATTTGACTACTTTTACTTGTTTTAACTATCATAAAGAGTACTTGAAATTCATATGTATAGTATTCTTAACTCTTGGATAGTCATTCTCAACTAGTATTTTGTTTATAACACATGTATTTCAAGAAGTTTATCTTTGTGTATGCAGCTTAGTTTCGTAAATTGATATCAACCTATTCAGTTTTTTATTTCAGCATCTTATGGAGTGGAAGATCCAGAATTTGCAATCACACAATTAGCACAAACAACAATGAGATCAGAGCTGGGAAAAATATCTCTTGACAAGGTCTTCAGGGAAAGGGAATCTCTTAATGTTTCCATTGTAGATGCTATTAATAAGGCTAGTGAAGCTTGGGGAATAGCTTGTCTCCGTTATGAAATTCGTAAGTAACAGTGACATTATATGACATGCTTATCAAGAAACAAGAAATTTGGAATTCCCTAATACATACTACAAAAAAAATTGTTTAAAGAATTGATAAGTTCATAATGAAAAAGTCTATTCTAAAATACAAAAAACATAACTTGAAAACATTATTTTTCAATAGAATATTGCAGCACAAGGTTGTACTTATGGACAAGGCAATAAAATAAATTTTGACACATTATTATTATTGATCATATTTATCATTCTGGTATACATACAGTAACCTAAAATTAACCAAATTACTAAAAACCTATTTAAGGTGACATAAAATTACCGACACGTGTACACGAGGCCATGCAAATGCAAGTGGAGGCAGAACGTAGGAAACGTGCTGCCATATTAGAATCAGAGGGTGTGCGGGCAGCAGACATAAATGTAGCTGAAGGCAAACGTCAGGCTCGAATATTAGCCTCAGGTAAATGAAGAAATACAAAATAGTGTGAAAAAAAATTAAGATATATTACTTTATTCAGTTGTCATAGCTCATTGACATCTTATATCAACATGAGTTCGATAGTGCTGTCACCAATGAAATTGTTAATGTTAAGTGATGACTTATCACATGCTCAGTGGTGAAGGAAAACATAGTGAGAACTGCATATTTTCGAATTAATATAAAAAAAAATGTTTCGAGCCGGCCAATTCGCAGTGTTCCCCCTTGGTGGATTATGCCCTAATACCCACTATGCAGAGGAGGCCTTTTCCCAGTAGTGGGACATGTATACATAGGCTGTTACTTTACTCTTTACTTTATTCAAAATTGATTTTAGTCCTAACAGTGTTAAAGCTGTACTAAATCTAGAAATAAATGTACTATGGAATTTAATATCTTAAATGATTGACAAAAAAATCCGAGGTGGTATATGTTTATCTCCTAAGGATAACCATTATTATGCTTATTTACCAAGCTATTTTAGACAATACTATAACTGTATGTGTCGCGCTTCCGAGATTAATCTCTAAAGAAAACATGGTTGTACTGCCTCATGAAAAAACCTTTGTAAACATTATACAGCGTGTCTTTACCGTCGCGACAATAGAGGATAACTTTTTAAAATTGTATTAAACATTAAAATTCTTTAAACATCAATATTTACAGAGTTATTAAATTTTCCATAACAAAGAATTTTAGAAAAACCTTACGTATAAAACTGAAACGTAAAGTTCATTAATTTGTAAAGGTCACAAAGCATATGAATGAATTTAAAAGAGACAAACCATACTGTTAGGAGAGGCTTGTAATGCGACGCTGTGGCAATGAATGAAAAAGTCTCTGAATGTATGAAACAGTCAGTTGTAGTCGTATAGGATGTTACAAATTTTGTTTCTATTTTACTTAATTAGTTTGTTGAAAAATATTTTTTTAATTATGGATTTTTTAACGTTAATATTTTTTATGATTATTGACAAGTAGCGTGTGTTAATTTATTGTCGCGGTTGTAACAACACGCTGTATATAAAGATATCCTGTAGTATAGATTAATTAAAATTATGATATTATTAATCTAGCTACACTGCCCCATATAAGTACCCGTGCTAAGCCGGGGCGGGACGCTACCTACTTAAATATTATTGCACTTTGTAGGAAGTATTAAATTAGGACTGAATTTATTCATTCAGATATTAATTTGCTACGCAAAAAAAGTACTTTATTTGTATGAATAATGAATAACAAGCTAAAGTGAAGACTGACTTATTTTTTAAAATACTTTGCCCTTTGACATATTTGAATCCACTAGATTCAAATTATTTTGTAACCAATGAATATGCCTTACTCGTCAGACGAAATGTAGAAGTGAGTCTTCGTGAGTCTGGTATCTTATAAGAAGATTCAACCACCCTCGAAACATCAGGCGACTTGCCTACATTGAAACTGTAATATAGTTCTGTATTGTAATTGAACTCGGAACCATGTACTAACGAAAACGAGTTCAAATTCAGGTGCCAGCTCCAATATAACTATTAATTGCGCAACACCGATTTATCATGCTCAAATTGTCTTTAAAAATGTAAAAAGCACTAAACCCTTCAACGCTGTTATTGTTATAAGGTGCAAATGATTGAAATGGTGAAACATTTGCATTTTTCTTGTATTCCAGAGGCTGAGAAACAGGAACAGATAAACAAAGCGTCTGGTGAAGCGCAGGCCATGCTTGCTGTTGCCGAAGCCAGAGCACGTGGCTTAAAACTTATAGCTAACGCTTTGGCGAATCAGGTGATTATTTGGAGATTTTTTTGAAATTAATGCTAAGTAGTGATAAGATCGCGGACTTGCAAGGCCTGGCTGTGCACAATTTTATAATAATTGATTCTAGTTGTGATAGCTCAGTGTCCTGGCGCTCGCCTTAACTCAATATACGAGTAGCAACCTGAGTTCGACCTTGGTGGCGGCACCGATGAATTTTAAGTGCTGAATTATCACGTGCTCAGCGGTGAATTAATACATCGTGAGGAAACCTGCATATTTTCGAAATTATAACAAAAAAATATTCCGATGGTATGAGAAGTCCGCTTATATGCAGTAGGGCCGCGTGGTGCACTTTGTCCTGAAACACTCAATATAGACGAGGCCTTTGAACATGTATAGGCTGTTACTTTAATTTTTTTACTACTACTATTGATATTTACTATAATAATATTACTATTTATATTTTAATTGATGACTCGGTCACGCAGTTGCTAAGTCGGTGCCCAGAAGTTGTGGGTTAGCTTCCCACAAGGGAAAAGTATTTGTGTGACCCACAGATAATTTTTCCGGATATGAGAGTTTGTTCCGAAGGAGGGTTGACGCTAGTAACGTATACGTCTGTATATAAAAACCTAGCCAAGACAAATAACAAGATGATTCGCACGTTGTGCAGACAGAACAGGGGAAGGAATATTTCATTTAAAATTAATCACATGCACAAATGTCAACAACCCAGACCTCCCAATGTTTGCAAATTGATGTTCTGGTAAAACAAAGACATACATAAAAAGCTTCAAATGTTTCATACAATTATTAAATATCATTGTATACAGGACAGCAAGCATGCTGCGTCACTTACATTGGCAGAACAATATGTTTCTGCATTTAACAAACTAGCACGAACGAATAATACACTCATATTACCTGCAAATGCTGGTGACGTCTCCAGTTTGGTCGCTCAGGTATGTTTTTGATCATATCATCATAATAAATTATTACTAATAGAATGTGATTTCTTTATTTTTATTTTTTTTTATGTATCGTTAATTTTTGGAGTTAAACTTCTTTTGGCGCGTTTAGAAAATTATGAGAGTAAAAATTTTACGATGCGCGCAACACGCCGACAGGCAAAATGCGACGTAATGAAGTTGGATAGTTGGAGGATGCAAATCGACATCCTTCGACCAATTTCACGGTATTACATGTACACGTATACCATGGAAACTGATAACAATTTTTTCAAATTTACGTTATGTTATATTTATTCTAAGTTATGTAATTAAACCGTTATCGATTGTATTTAATTTCTTTTTCACAAGCAAAGAGTACTGGCACAGGGGATAAACTTATTATTTTTCTTTTGTTACGCTAAACTAGCATTACTTCTTACGTGCGTTCATACACATTTTTTTATTATATGCTACGTGAACAAAAATTTAAAAAACTAACTATTTTTGTAAGTTTCAAAAGACGACATAATCAAGAAAATATTTTCTTCGAAAATCCTCACATTTTTGTCAATACAACTTACCTTTTATATCAGACGATAGGCTTCTGATATAAATGACGCAGAAAAAATGGGACCTGTACAGTAAAAGCGTATATATGCCACTTATAATCAACATATGGCTTTAAGGAAACTTAAATAACATTCAAATGATAAAGTAATACAAAATATATAATAGAACAATGAACCTAAAACTAAAAACTTAAAAAAAAAACAGTAAAAGTACAAATGACATGTTACATTCAACTGGTTAATTGCTTGTTTTTACTTTTAGGTGCATAAGATTTAATTAGAGAAGTCTGTTTTCTTTATTATAGAATATTACTCTGTCCAAATTTATGTAGAAAATATTTTCATTATATTATACAGGGTGGCTTTTCTAAAGGTGCCCAAATTTACATAGGAGGTTCAGACTCGGTAGTATCGTAATCGTTTATTGAAATAAAAACAAACTTTTTTTTTTCAAAAAAATTGCCATTCTATTCCCTAAAAAACAGAACTTGTTGACAATGCGGTAGCCATTCATATATGCGTATACTTTTGAAAGGAATTTGTGTGCTTGTTAGTTATGAATGATCGTATCGCGTAAAATTAATGAGTTGCCCATAAATCACGCTCTTTTTGTGATAAGTTCAAATGAATGTATTTGATTAATTACGAGTGATTTTAAATATTTATCATTTTTATATAACATTATACACTTAGAAAAGCCTCCCTATATAAAGATATTTTTAATTACGCCATACATACACACAGTCTTAGTCACTTAATTATTGTATTCATATAAAATATTTGTTTTTATTCAATCATAAAATGCACATTTTACTATAAGCAAGTCATGTTTCTATTTATAAGTTACTTAAAAATGAATTTTAGGGACATTTTAAAAAATGGCCTTCATTGTTTAGTAATAACCACTTATATATTTTTTTCGGCAGGCTATGTCAATATATTCAACAGTTACCGCGCACAATAGCCAGCAAAGCCAATCTAGTATTGCTGATGTAAATTATTTACATCCTCATGCCTTAACAGACAAAGGCACAACAATAGCTGGTCAAGCAGTAGGCCATGTTGATGACAGTTTAGCAGAATACTTTTCGGACGATGAAGAAAGAGAAAAAGCATTACAACTTCAAAAGGAAAAGAAGAAGGAGCAAAACCAACAAAATATAGAAAAAGAAACATGATAATGTAAAATGATTAATTGTTTATTAAATTAAAAAAAATCGAGGAATGTTTTCTTTTAGTCAAGCCCTGATATTCATGACAAATAAAATATACATGTCATTACACAGTTTCCATATTTCGTATTAATATAGGAGTCTTATAATTACAGTCTATTTTGTATTGTCTTTTTGATACATATAGTATTCATTGCAATTTTTTTATTTTTAATACAAAATAATATAAATCAACATCCTTTATGAAATATTTATTGGCTCGTTATGATATTTTAACAAATTTATCTCTTTGATTAAAGTAGCTAACTGAGCCCTCTTCAGATTGGCTACTTGACTGAGCAGGCATTTTAAGAAGACTTAAATATGATGATGATAACTCGGTACCATCAAACTGCCTCAAATGAATCTGCAAAATGCATACATAAATATATGTATATACAACAAACAATATTATTAATCTCTCCAATCACAAAACTACACTCAGAGTGTTAATTAGAACTCATTACATATCACTTAATTCATTTCCAAAGTTCAATGCTAAACTTCACTTTTCACTTAACACCTGAGTGCAGCCTAGGTAAGGGTAAGTAGTTTCCTTTAGCAATGTATATTTTTTTATTTGTGCGTGGTATTAGTAAAAGAAAAGTGGTATAATCTCACCAGCAAATGTAAATTAACTTCATCGCTTCTGCTTAGATAAGGAAAATTACCACCACTTTTTAAATGTGCTAATTTGGCTTGTGGGTATGACTTATAGAGGTCTTCACGGACTCTCGAGCTAAGTGCACTCTCATCCCACACATCCATTATTGTGATTGGAATGTCATTTAGTTGTTGTGGTAATATGTAGCACGGAGTGCAATTAAGAGTAAGTCTAGATGCGAGTTCCGATTGGTTGAGTGATTCCAGCTGAAATTTTTTTAATTATGTTTATACAATCAATGCTACAAAGACTTCCAATAAAACTTTTAAAAGATTATACTGATACTGATGATACGAACATAAAATAGTTTAATTTTATGTTTAATAGTTAATTCTTAATTTATTTCATAATAGCCAAAATAAAATGCTTCAATTGTGTTACTTTTTAATATTATCTTATATATAAATATTTCGGAACATATTTTTACACAATGTTATCTAGTCCCAAACTATTGTATGTGTATATTTCTTTTGTAAATAAATACATAATATATTTATATATAATTCTTCTGTGCGTGGTATGTCACTGAACTCCTAACCAGTTGGACCGATTTTAATGATTTTGAAAAAAAAAAAAGATATTTAATTTCATTTTAACAGTAATTTTAAAATAAAACGTCACATGTGAAAACCACACTGAAACATATGGGTACCGCCAGGTTCAATGTGGACCATAACAAATAGAACCATATTGATTATTGTCTTACATTAATAATTATCAACTTATTAGTTATAGCAAAAAAAACCTGGTTTTATTATTCAGCTTATGACCCGACTGTATAAAAGTTACATAGTTGTAAAAGTTGCATTATTGCAGTTGTAATGCACACCCTCTTTAATGAGTGCAATTTTACCTATATATTGCGTATATATTATATATATACATATTATTATTCCTCATTAAAGAGTGTGCATTACAACTGCAACTATGCAACTTTTCTAGTATTCAGATTTCCAAATTAAAAATGTGGACACAGTCCCATATCAGGCCATTTATTTAATGTGAAATGTAAGATTAACTTTGATCATAACATATTAATAAAAACCTGACACAGAATAGGTATGCATCAGCTGAAAACCTATGGCTTAGTGACATTTTTGTAACCATTGCACTCCCGTCACGCTGCACTTTCAGGTACCTATCCGTGGTCCACAACCCCTCTTTTCCGATAATAGCCATGGTTTATATTCCACCTGAATTTAGCATTGGCTGAGGCCAAAAAATTTCATTTTCATAATTTTTTATACCCTGGTTATTTTCACCTTTTTTAAGTGAAAAGTTGGCAAGCGAGTGGACCGTTAACCTGATGGTAGTTGATTATTGCCACCTATCTACAACACCACAGGGGTTGTACATGCATTGCCAATCTATAAAAAAGTGAGCTCCAACTACCTGAGTCACCAGAAGACACACGAAAGTATACTATATTCCATTGCACACCGCCTACTGGCGGTTGGCCCGCAGTCTGAAAGCTGACCCTCGAGAATCTCTACCGCCGTTAGTTAGACCTAATAGCGCTTCAGTAGCCCTAGATGACTCCGAAAAAGCCGAATGCCTTGCGGACAACCTAGAGTAGCAATGTACGCCATCGTGCGAACACACCGATACAGCTCACCTAGATAAACACACGCATAATCACATGCGTGGCCCTACCCACAGCGGAGGGCCCAAACCCGTGGGTTGTGGGTTCTGCGTCAGATAAAGCTTTAATAAACTCTGGACTGAAAGCAAAAACATCAGTTAATACAAGACAAGGTTTGATCCCCACTACTGGAAAAATATTGTGTAATAAACATTGTTTATAGACATTATTTATTGTGTAGTATTTCTAGTGTACTGCTGTTTATATATCTAGAAAATAGCGATGGGTCGTTGATTGTATTTTCGTCAACTTAACGTTAATGTTGATTCATATTCGTCAACTAGTTGATCAACTAGTTAAATTCGTCAACGAGTTAACGTGTCACATAAGTATGTTAAATTGCAAGCCCTTCTACTAGGGAAGACAGATGAAAGCTATCTATGCATAAATCTAACAAATCTGAATTATTTTTTTTCTTTTGTTCTGAACTAATTTTTTTTAATTATCAAAATCAACCATCATACGCTGGTCGCTGATGATTTCATTTCTTGGTGGTCCCTCTCGCATCGGAATCCCCTGGTTGGGCACTGAACTAAGACTATGATATTTTAACTTGTTCCTGGTGTGGAACAGAGTGGGTTAGGTTCTGATACAGGCGGATTACTTAGAGATTGGTACTAAAACACTGGTGAAAATATTTAAATGTTTCCGTTTCAAGTACTTTTTAAATTTAAAGTGGTTAATTTGTTCGATATTTTCTCCTTGCATACATTGCAAATAGCTTACCTGCTAGAATTGTCTTTTTATCTATGTCATAACTCACTGTTAATATGTCAAAAGATTTTGAATTTTGTACCTACGTTCACTTAAATAATCATAAATTAAAATAAAAAAGCACTAACCATAAAGTAAAATTCTGATAAACAAAACTAAAAACATAAAATAAAATTCCAAATATATTTAATTAAAAATTAATAAATCCACAAAAAAAAAACACTAAACATGAAGTAAAGTTCTGATAATGTTTACGCAAACCCGCAAAAGATTCTCTGACCTTGCGCGCAACTATTCACAAACTGTCAAACAAAAATAAAGAAAGCAAAATTAAACATGTCCTTCATAATTTAAACAAACATTGCAACTGAACTCTGTAACATTTTTTCAACGTAAAGTTTTTAATTTATTAGTTTGTTACGCTTATCTTTGTTGACTGCGTTTTTAAAAGAGTTGAGTTGAGTTTAAAGACAAAATTTCCGAAACGATGTTAACAAATTCAATGTTAACATCGTTAGTTGATTTCAATGACAGGTAAAGTTAATTTGTTAACAAGAGATCAATGGTTGATTCAAATAGTTTGTTGATTCAACACCCATTGCTACTAAAAAAGTATATTTATCAGTCTGCTAAGTTTGGGACTAGGTAACATTGTAACTGTATGTTATGGTATGAGAAAATAATAATCAATATGATTACATACTTCATCTATACTATAGTCTAAACTATAATTTAATAAAAAAAGAGGGATCAAAAACATTTTATTCTTACCCTTTCTACCATGAAATCAATAGATTCTGCTATTCTCTTATCAATTTTATCAGTTGTAAAATTTCCCATTAACATCCTTTTAAGCACTAAAGATGGTAGGAGCCAAAATAATGCTGCAGAATCATTGTACTCAAAAACAGAAGTGTCAGTAAAAGTATTACACAATACCAGGGAAGCTACTCTAGGGCAATTTTTTGTCAACTCTGCAAACTTCTGAGCCATAAAGCCTCCTAAAATAAAAACTTAATTTACAGTGTAATGTTTAATATTCTTCATGTGAATTAAAAAATGAATTTGCATACAATAAAAAAATTTATTATTTTGTTAACATATTAAGGCACTACTATAAATTATGAAATACTTAATATAATGATTTCTTAAATATCATCTCACCTAGGGAAGCTCCAAAAATATGCACTTTGTCCAATTCTAAATAATTTATAAGCCGTTTAAATCCATCAATCCATTCTTTCATGTTCCAATATGGTGGAGGTTCTGCTGCTATCACTCTAACACCTCTGGAGGACAACCCCATTACTTGCTTAAAAAATACGTCGGCTGTTCCAGAAACTGGTGGTAAACATATTAATGGGCAATGAACCGACTTCGGTCCACTATCAAATATTCGCCATGCCTAAAAAGGTGAATAAATATCGTTCGAACTACTTTCTTTTACCAATATTTTATAATCTAGTCTAGAAATCATAAACGCTATTCAAAAATTTTATACCAAATTATTCGTATACCTTTGAACTATCAGAATCAACAACTACTTTCCGTAATGGAATACTGCTTCTAAAACTTAAATACTCATTGGATTGAGACAAATCGCTCACACAGCTCATTTTATAAAATAGATAGTTGATTTCCTTCGATTTATTCGCTTGGATATTTAATTATTATTAAATTTAAAAGTAAGAACTGATATAAAATAGGACATCAATGACATTGACGTCTTTGAATGACAAAAATGATCAAAAACGTAAACCGATATAACACAACGAAAAACAAGTTATAGTTGCCGACTTAACCGATTCTAAGTAAACCTCAAAAGATCGGAAAAATCGAACAGCCTACTAAAATATTCGAACTGTGATAGCACAGGGTCCTGGCGCTCGCTTTTAATTCAATATACTCGAGTCGAGCTCGAGCAATTTGAGTTCGATCCCCGGGGCCGTCACCAATGAAAGTGATAATTTTAAAGTGCTGACCTATCACGTTCTTAGCGGTGAAGGAAAACATCGTGAGGAAACCTGTTAATATGAAATATTTTCAAAATAATAATATCCCATTGGAAGAAAACGTACAAAATCAGTGGGATGTTCCTTTGGTGCGGATAGTACAGAAGGATACGTTTCAATCTTTAGAAAGTAATTTAGAGCGTGCCCGTTTCCTAGGAGTCTCATCTAAAGAATCGAGTTATTGGCTTCACGCTTTACCATCAAGTAACTTGGGCACATTACTCGACGATGAAAGCTTACGCATTGCTGTAGGAATCCGTCTGGGGGCACCGATTTGTCAACCACACCAATGTCTTTGTGGTGTCAGTGTAGACAAATTTGGTCTCCACGGGCTTTCTTGTCAAAAAAAGTGCTTCAACATCATCCGCAGGGCTTTTGTTTCCGTCAATTTTCCATTTATTTTAGAGCCCTGTGGCATTTTTCGCGACGATGGTAAGAGACCCGACGGTTTATCTTTGATCCCTTGGGAGAGAGGCAAAGCTCTTGTTTGGGCCGCCACTAGTGTAGACACTTTGGCTGCCTCTCATCTAAGGGGCGGCATCGGAGGCAACTGAAGTAAGTAAATGGCGCAAATATGAGTCTTTATGTTTAGATTATGTATTTGTGCCATTTGCTGTTGAAACTTTACGTCCGTAGGGTCCACACACATCAATTTTTTTTAAAAGTTTATGTCCTAACGCCGCGACTGGTGACAAGAGAGCTGGTTCTTTTCTCGATCAAAGGTTAAGCATAACTATTCAGCGAGGAAATACAGCTAGCGTTCTTGGCACCATGCCGCGTGGATTAGGATTATTAGATAATATGTAATTTTAGATAGATTAAATCTTGTAAATATTATATCAAAATACTTTTTATAAAATAAAATAATTGAACATAAAAATATAAAATTTTAAGAAATTTAAATAATAAAAAAATATTTCGAAGGTATGTGAAGTCTGCCAATCCGCATTGGGGTAGCTTGGTGGACTATGCCCTGATACTCTCTGTATAGAAGAGGCCTTTGCCCAGAAGTGGAACATTTATAGGCTGTTACTTTAGTTACTTTACTACTAAAATATTATATGGAAGTTTTAACGTAATTCTTTACCCTGTCGGCACGCGCGTGTTTCGTTTATAAAGATTTTTAATCAGTAGAGATACATTATCGAAAAAATTATTACTAAGTAACTAATAGGCGGAGATGCGGAGATGTTGAGAAAAAAAATATTGTTAAAATATATTGTACCGAATTTATCTCAATTTATCTTATCCTTTAAACGAGCAATTCTTGTATATGTATATGTATATATATATATATATATATATATATATATATATTCGGAATCTCGGAAACGGCTCCAGCGATTTTCATGAAATTTTGTATGTGCGTAGATTCGGGGGCGAAAAATCGATCTAGCTAGGTTTCATTTTTAGAAAATGTCCTTTTATCCCTTTTTTCAGGGAATGAAAAATATAATTCGAATATGACAGTAAATTTCGCCGCAAGAGAAAATGTCATCATAGCTCGGTCGGTAATCGGGCGGCCCCAAAACAGACGGCCGTGGTTCGCAACACGATCATTTACACATTTATTTTTTTACTTTTTTTTCGATTCCAGATCATTGCTTTCTTTATTTTAAATTTTTTGTCGATTTGTTATTTTGTTATTTCTTTCCCTTTTTTTTAAAGTTCTTTCTTTTGTGAAAAACATCAGTTCATATTTTCTTATTATTACGTCGGTAAGATCGAAAAATATTATGCATATTTCATTACTCAGTAATTTGTGTCTAAATGTAATTTCCAAAATACACGATTTACCAAAAAAAAAAACAAACCGAGCAAAGCTCGGTCCCCCGGGTACTTAATAATATTGTATTACAATTATTGTAGTGACGTCGCTTAATTTGTAAATATGTACACCGAACGGACCTAACCTATCAATCACAGCTATCAATTTGAAACAGGGACTTAAAACGTTATGCATAACGAAATTTATAACGATAGCATAACGTTATAATGGTATCGGTACCTCAGAAAACATTTCGTTTTCAATTTTTTGCATAACGTTATACGAGTAACGGAACGAAATTATTACAGAGAAATTAATGTTATTAACGTTATTATAACGATAAATACGCAACGTTGCCAAACTTATTTATTTCTAAAGTGCGCGTCTTATGAGCGGGGATCCAACTGTTAGCTCGGATGGGGGTTTCCCGCACAGCACGGCAACGTTTTAAAACGATGCCTAAACATTTGTAAACCCTTGCGACGAATTTTATTTAACAAGCTTTCATTTAGTTTCACCTGTAGCGATGTTTGTCATCAATTCTTGCAAATTAAATTTGATCCACTTCCCGGTTAGGTACCGATTGAGCTGAAATTTTGCATACATGTGTAAATCGCGTGACAATGCAATATTATGATGACATGGTACTGATCTGATGATGGAGCTGGAAGGTGGCCAAAGGAACTTCGCAATGACAGAACGACACAACCTTATCGAGTTTGGGCTCATTTGAATCGTCGTGAGGATTAGTTTGTCTTTTAATGGTAACCAGGGTCTGATGAAGTAGCTGGAAGGTGGACATCGGAACTCTGTAATGGAACGACGCAACCCCGTCGAGTCTCGGCTCGTTGGCTTCGTCTCGACGAGTACTTTGGTACTTGGTGGTAACCCGGGTTTGATGATGGAGCTGGAAGGTGGCCATAGGGCTCTGTAATGGAACGACGCAACCCCATCGAGTCTCGGCTCGTTGGCTTCGTCTCGACGAGTACTTTGGTACTTGGTGGTAACCCGGGTTTGATGATGGAGCTGGAAGGTGGCCATAGGGACTCTGTAATGGAACGACGCAACCCCATCGAGTCTCGGCTCGTTGGCTTCGTCTCGACGAGTACTTTGGTACTTGATGGTAACCAGGGTTTGATGATGGAGCTGGAAGATGGCCATGGACTCTGTAATGGAACGACGCAACTCCATCGAGGGTTTGATGATGGAGAGTACTTTGGAAGATGGCCATAGGGGACTCAGCCCATAGGGACTCAGTCAGTTTGATTAGTTTTAGTGGGTGGACCGTTTTTAATGGGTGGTGAGTGGTGGTGGTTTGGTGGACGTGTAATGTAATATAATATTTACGCATTAAATGAAATGGATTGAATGTGAAATGTTACAAACAACTAACTAGTAATTCCATAACTAATTGATATGTAAAGTTATTAAAATATAAAATAATACTAAAAAGTTAAAAATAATATTAAAAGAAAAACCAAAGAAACGAAAAAGATAAATTATTGAAGTTTTTATCGCATACCCAATTTTTATAAATAAAAGCTTTTTAAGATGTTTTTTTTTTATAATTTTTTTTATTTCAGTTTTTTCGTTCTTTCCACGTATCGATTCATTGATTAGAAGTAAATTAGTATAAAATTCGGACTGGCGCGTGTTGCACTTAGTACAACGCAAGTTAGTCGAAACTTTTTTCAGTATTAAAGAATTTTATATAGGTATAACATTAAAGATTTCATTTAGTATAAAAGGTCGATGATATTAATTGTACCTTGTATTGTATAGTAAAATAGTGCTACATGCGACTTTAAATGCAACAAAAAATCGAATCAGAATTATTAACTTTATAATGCATAAAATCATATTAAAAGAAAGCATTTAACATAACATAACATTTGAAAATTGCCAATTTACTACTTTGTACCTGCACACCATTTTATCATTAGCACTTAAATTATGTTTTTATGTACTATCTCAAAAAAGTCCCTAGATGAAAACGCTAAGTGAACGCGAGCGATGGTACTAAGTATATAGCGAAGAAAGATGCCCGCAAAAGAAATAGTACTACCTTTACCTCTCATATTCCTAGTAACTTAAGCAAAATTTTCTGTTAGTTGAATTGCTGTACCGACGACCACAATATAAGCGCGACAGAACATAAGATAAAAGAGACAGAACATACGCAAAAAAGAGTAAACCGTTTTGAGTAAAAGAGATGGCATAGAACAATAAATAATAACGTTATTATTTTTATAACAATATTTTAGAAACGTTTAATTTACGAATGTAACGTAACGCAATTATAACGTTATGCGCCTGCAAAGCTTTCCACAATATCGTTTTTAATAACGTTTCTCTTAAAAATAACGTTATCTCACACTGGCCCAGATAACGTTACTGTATTTTACCGGTATTTTGATCCCTGATTTGAAATAATTGAACGTAATTTGTCTTAATTTATGAATGATAATGTTATTATGTATAACTGTATTCTCCTCTTCCATTTAAAACTAAAAAACGGACTTTGTGCACAACGTCATTTTTTTTCCTCGTAAGTCGTAATGTTTCGGTAATTTTTCTCTATTGATTAAAAATATTTATAAAGGAAAAACGCGCATTCCCCTATAAAGAATTACCGTTTTTATTTTTTCACCGAGAAAGTCATTGGGTACTATAGTACCACGAAAATTTTAAAGGTAGTGATGTAATTATTTCAAGGTGTAGGTAGTAGTATAGAACGATAGATATAGGAACAAGGTGAAGTTATGAAAATAAAACCGTTTTTGAAATATTGCAATGTTTATATTATTTTCTTTGACAGTACCATAAAAGATGAGATACTATATCAGCTGTTCTTCAAGTTATAAAATATTTGATGAAAGTATTACACTTCCTTAAAAATTTTAACATTTATATTATAATAAGACTGATATTCTAGTTGTGGTCAATTAATAATTTTGGCCGTCATCTTTTATAACAAATTCAAAATGTATTCTATTATTTATATATTTGCGAAGATCCTTTTGCAAACTGGCTTTTTTTCTGTTCTATTCTATTTATGTAACATCATAAACTCAACCTTTCCCTTTTCCTATCCTCAACTAGAGCCACAATTGGTAATGGTGAATTAACAAAAATCTGCTACTAATATAGTATTTTAAATTATCGTTTACAAGAAACGGCATGATATAAGTCATACCGCCGCCCATGGACATCTGCCTCACCCGAGAGTTACAGATGCGTTGACAACCTAAAAAATTGGGCTCCGGCTACTCACCAGACGAAACGCAAAAGTTATATTTAAAATATAAATTTAATCAAATGATAATTATTTCAATAAATAAAATATGCCAATTAATATATATGTATATATATATATATATATATCCACAGGTCACATATTTTTCGCCGTAGACGGAGAAAACAATTTTTTGTCGTCTTATTTATGTCACTCAACACTAACATCAGTTCACAGAGTACTTTTGTATATAGGCATCAGTTCACACATCAGTTGTTGAATCGATAACGTTGTGAAATACGCAAATTTTTATCCTTCTGGCCTATTAACACTGTTTATTAGTTTCAAAATGAATTCTAAGTTAACTTCTAATGATTGTAAAACTCAATACATTGCAAAGTTAAGGCGCTTGAAGATCCAAGAAAGTTTTTTATTTTCAGCTATTATAAAAATAAATGTATCACTTGAACAAGAAAATATCAATGTTCAAAAAAACTGGGATTGGAAAAATTTTGAGTCTTCATTAAAAATGGCTTTTATAGAGATTAGAAATTTATTGGAGGATATAAAAATAGCCATAAATTCTCAAAAAAATATAGTACACTTTGGTTAGTTGTAGTGGTTATAACGCTCATAAGTGGTTATCTTATAAAATATTAGCAAACTTTAAAAGGTCATATTAAGAAGTTTTGAGATTCTAATTTCTAACTTAACAAATAAAAGCGAGCTTTATGCTACGACTATAATTTTAAATTAATTTCAGTTAGGGAGTCTCATGTCAGTCACTATAGTAACGTCACTTTGAAGCTTTTTCAACTTCGTCACTTTCAGTATAAATGTCTTATATAAACTTTGAAGTTTGATTAGAATTGATACAGACAATCGGAATATAACAATAGGACACGGACTAATAAAGCTATTTTACTAGTCCGTAACCTAATTCTTATTGGGTATTACACAAAAAGTATCTGTCCTGAATATTTTTCGTTAACATTACTTTAGGCTTCTGAATATTAAATTAAAAATGTCCTGTATATGTTTGTAATAAAAGGCCTTTTTTATTTATTATTGTCATCAATATAGCTTCATGTTTATTGCAGATTTAATTGAAATAAAAAAAGATGTTTTTGATCTAGAAGAAAAATTAAAATCTTATATAGAACATTTGCAAACAGAACTCATTGCACTGCGCAATCTTGCTAAGGAAATTGAAATTATGGTACATGTTTAACTGGAAAAATTTATAAATAATATGCCATGTGGCTTGAAGAGTTCTAATTAATGACCTGTTAATTTTCAGTTCAATACAAATCAATTTGTAGAAGATCGCGTAAGAAGCAAAAGGAATAAGATACAAGCTAAACAATTCTCTGAGATCATTCATAGTCCTGTCAGAGCGATTATAAATGCTCCGTTCAAATGTCCAGTAAGTCAATTTGGATATTGTATGTAATGATGCAAGAATAAGATGATAAGCATATACCGATTTTTTTACCGATTTACCGAAAAAAAATAGCAGTCTCATATATCATTATTTTAAACCACTATATAATATTACAATTAACATGCATATTTAAAAGACAACATAGTATACTAAATCTGCTTTAAAAAGCTCGAAACTTTTTAGGAAGTACAAAAATTTCAAGAGTTTTTATCTAATCATAAACGTTACGGGAAGTGGAACGAATATAACCATAATATTTTCGTGCAAATATGGAATAAATACTTTTGTAATGATGATGACTCGTTAAAATTAGACGATTTTGTTGAAAACACAGAACGATTCCATCTTTTTAGGGAAGAAGTAATGGAAGCTATACCAGGTATGACTTTTTCTCATGGTTACTACGAAATCGTGCATGACACACAAATTAGGGATGGGCAAGTCAAAGAAACATATCGTATCGACATTTATTGAGTGATAAATATCGATATACCGATATATCGTCAATTTTCGCATGATTATTAATACATATGTATTTTCGAACCATTCAAAATTCATAAAATAGAATAGACATAAAGAAAATAGTTGAAAACAGTTTCTAAAGTTAACGATGCGCGAGGAGCATGCAAGTTAAGACCACTAAAATGTGTGTCCACAACTGCTGCTAATGCTGGCTAATTTTGCTATTAAACATAAAATTTCTATTAGCTAACTGTTAAATAATTATAAATTAACTATTAGTAATGGACATGGAGCAATCAAGGAAGCATTTACTTTGCGTAATGTGTAATTAACAAAAGCTAGTCCGGGCTACCTTTCTTGCTTTCGTATTAATGTACTTTGTTTTTATCGAATTTTAAGCGATGGTCGGTGCATCAAGTACGTTTCCTTTACACAAAATGACCACTTTTTCGTTTAAAATTTTTACAATGAAATATTTGAAAACTAGCGCTATTAAAATTTTTCGCTATCGCACCTTTGCTATTAAAATTTTATCTGATAATAATTTTTATAGTGCTTTTTTCTGTAAGTACAACAATAAATAATGCCTTATAAAAATTATAAGAATTTTCATCTGTTTAATCTTATGGTGCTGCAATTTGATGCTTTTTACGATTTTTCATAATGAAAGAAAAGCGTTGGTTTACAGATTATTTTTATGTTTAAATGCTAGGAACAACATTGGACGATATAAATTCACATTTCAAATGGTATCGGGAATATGTTTGCTTAAAAAATTGTCAACAAAAAGCGTTGGAGAAATGGAAGGAAAACAGACAAAAAATTGAAAAACCAATCCAAGAGGTAATTAACAACGCCTTTCTCTTTGCTTTATAATTTGTATTAGCGTTTTTCTATACGAAAAACTCAATTATGCCTAATTCCTCGTTATACAAAATCCTGCTTTACTGGGAATTGATCAAGTCAGGTTAACAATGAAAATAGTGATTTTGAAGTATGGTTAAACATAACCTCAAAATTACCCTATTTATGATGAACCACTAAAAATACAAGTAATACAAGTTAAATAATCATTTCTGCTTTTATGGTTTGCCAAATGTTATCTATATATTTATACGTGAAGCAAAAACTTTTTACCCCTTTTTATGATAATTGCGTGGACGGAGCAGTGTGAAATTTCCCACACTTATAATTTATAATATTTCTTTTTAATTATGCATAAAAACATAATTACATTAAATCAATATAGAAAATATACACACACTACCATGTGACTGACTTCTTAGCTGACTTCTACTCGGCGAAAGGAATATTCCTACCAAATTTCAAGTCTCTACGCCTTATGGTTCCAGAGATATCGTGATGAGTCAATTATCGGTGGATATCTCTTATATATATATATATATATATATATATATATATATATATATATATATATATATATATATACATATAATAGAAGATTGTATTTGAGAGTAGATTAATATTGTTCAAGTTTATAATTTAAATTATTTATGGTCGAATTTCGACCACTCGGCGTCCACTAGTAAGATTAATGCAGTCTTTATAAATCTGGATCTCCTTTGGAATTGTAGGTGTGTTTTAAACCTTTCTAAGATTGATGCTCGGCTACGCACCGATCTTCTCAGAGGCTGTTGTTTTGTGCTTCTCCAGACGAACCTATCCAATCGTAGTACAAAAGAAGCTGCTATACAGTCTTGTCAAAATAAAAAAGTTCTTAATTTAAAATATCGAGAGCCATGGTAGCTTTGTGTCTGGGCGCCTGCATCTAATACAATACAGCATGTATTTACCACCGCGACAATAAATGAACACACGTCTAACGCTACTTGCCAATAATCATAAAAAAATATTAACGTTAAAAAATCTATAACTAAAAAATAATATTTTTCAAACAAACTAATTAAGTAAAAAAGAAACAAAATTTGTAACATCCTATACAACTGACTGATTCATACATTCAGAGACTTTTTCATTCGTTGCCACAGCGCCGCATTACAAGCCTCTCCTTCTAACAGTATGTTTTGTATCTTTTAAATTCATTCAACCCATTCATATGCTTTGTGACCTTTACAAATGAAATGAACTTTACATTAAAGTTTTATACGTAAGGGTGTTCTATAATTCTTTGTTTTGGAAAATTTGATAACTCGTTAAATATTGATGTTTAAAGAATGTAAATCTTTAATACAATTTTAAAAAGTTATCCTCTATATGTGTATTCATTTATCGCATTAGTCGCGATGGTAAAGACATGCTGTATACTTCAGCAACGTGAATTGAAATCTCGGTGCCGGCACCAACGAAATTGTTAATTGAAAACGAATCGAAATTGATCGCGTCCTCGCCGGTGAAGGATAACTTGAGGAAACCTGCAAATTTTCGAAATAATAACAAAAAATGATTTCGAAGATATGCAGATTCAGCCCACTCCACATATCGCAGCTAACAAATTGATAACATGAAATGTGGCATAGGCTGCATCATTTAAGCATTACATATAAATACTTTATTGTAATGTCAAGACAAATTAATTATAATACATTGTTAAAATTTGTAGAAAAAGTACGAAAAGATTGACGCCGCTGTGGGAATCGAACCCATGTCTTCGGCATTCGCGGCCTGTCGCTCTAACCACTGAGCTAAACGGCTGATTGCCACACCGACGAAAATTTTAAACTCTTTTATCTACATTGTTTTAGCATTGAAGACGTGGATTCGATTCCCACAGCGGCGACAATCTTTTCGTACTTTTTCTACAAATTTTAATGTACAATCTTAAGTGCAGTAATTAGCACTATAAATAATTTCAATTTTATAATAGATTGGTTAAATTATGTTAGTTTTGGATTATTCTTACTCAGTTTACCAATTCCATACTTTAAAAGTTATATTTATTTTAACATCCATTTTTTATTATACTTTGACGATATTTTTGCTTTCAGTCCATAGAATATTTAAGCTTCATCATACGCAAAGCTCCTGCCTCGCGGTTATTGGGATAGTGTCCGCGCATATGCCTGCGTTATGTGTATTGTTACCAATAGGTCATTTTAAGTATGGAAGGTATCTCTTATGGCATATTAATTGTGGTGTTCGTTTCGCCCTATTAGTAGGCGAGAATGAGCCAGTAGTTTGGGCTTGCTATCACTATATGTGTATGTGTGTGTATAGCATCGTCTGGTGGGACCTCTGGTGGGAATATTTACGCGGATGACGTTTCTTAATGATAAAATTAGGGCTTAGTTGCGAATTTGCGGCGTATACTACTGTGACTTGAATTTCGGCTCTTTTGAAAACCTTTTGTAAGTATATAATATATATTTTACGGTGGTAGGGTCACGCAGCAGCCTCGGCTGTTACACGAATGGGCAGGCCCGTCCGGGTAAGTACCACGACTTCACAGAAGATACTAATACTTTCGCGTTTCGTCTGGTGACCGGAGCCCAATTTTCAAAAGATTGTCAACGTATCTGTAGCCCTAGGGTGTAGCAGATGTCCATGGGCGGCGCTATTCACTTACCATCAGATGAACCGTCTGCTCGTTTGGCAACTTTTCACATAAAAAAATACAATATTTATACAATATTTCTCTCAAGTAACCAAAATTTTATTTAGAACTAAAAGACACATTAAAAGGGAGTAACCCTTTTACTGTCTCTATCTAGATTTAATCCCTAAATATATCATTCTTTGCAGGCAAGACAAAATCTGCAGTCGCACATGTCGTCCTTTTGTAAAATGAGTACAAGATCGTCCGAAAAACTTTTATACACAAACAGGTACACTTTAAATTTTTATAGTACTAACTAACCTCTGCACTTAAGATGTAATATTAAAATTTCTAGACAAAAGGACGAAAAATTTTTAGACTCTTAGAGAATCGAACCCACGTCTTCAGGATTCGCGCCCAGATCTTTAAGCTTAACGGCTAATTTCCACATCGACGAAAATCTCAACGTCTTTCATCCACATTGTATTCGCATTTCAAGCATTGCTCGGCGCATCTATTGTTGGAAATTGTTTGCATGCTGTAAAGGATGTGAGGGTTATTCATACCTTGATTCCAATTTTAATATTGAACATCGGATCCAATCCCATCCTTCACCAAAAGTTTGTGTCGATCTTAGATAAAAGTTCTGACTAAGCAAAATAATTATTTATCTGCTTATAGATCAAGAAATGAATCTAGTGTCGTGTCAAAAATTTATAATTCAACAGAACAATGGAAGAACAGGTGTGATGGTAATAATGACCCACCACAAATCTTTCCTATTATACAAGATAAAAGACAAATGTAAGTCATTTAAACTTAAACATGTTCTATAGTTTTGTATTAAAAGTAGATTCTGCGGGTGAATACACAGTGTCCGTTGTAAATAAAATAATAGTGCTTATTTTAATTATTAAGTAAATAAACTTTGATTTTTTTTTTCAGACATATTCCAACCTGGCGTTTAGGATTATTTAAGAATTAAGCAAAAAATAATGATTTTTGCATAATTTTGTCCGGAATTGACGACAGTCTGAAGATACCAAATAGGGGCAAAAAATAATACAGTACCTAATTTGCTAGCAGTTTTTTGATGTTCCCATGAATCCATATATTCTTGCGATACAACATAACGGGATTATATTTATACTCCGCTATGATTCAATTGTGTAAAATCGTGTATGACAATGTATTTGATTAATAAATAAATACGATATTAAGTTTTTGTTTGAAATATTGATCTTTTAGTAATAAGCATTGTCAAAATATACCCTAAAATCAGTACTAGTAAAAGTAGATACTTCGTAGCGCGAGTAATTGCTTTCACATTGGCCAAATCGTACGTATTTGTTTTTGTACGTAATATTTTTTTTTGTGTAGTTACAAAATTTCAACACGGACAACTAGTCTTGGAACTATCTTACGACTCGTTGTGATCATTGTGACTTCCTGTCGATAAATCTATGGTGTTATCAAGATACTTTGTTTGTCGCTTATAATCCACGCAACGCCCACAATATGTTCCCTGGAGAAGACGCCCAATTTGCACCCTGAGCCGACATACACGGGTCATTCCGTAGTTTCATGCAAAAAGCATTTCCAGACCAATTTTCGCGTGAAAAAAGGTATATATTTTGAATATTATTTGCCCAATAGGTTTGAAAATAATCACTCTAAAAGTAGCATTGCTACTATTACACGTATATTACTAAGTTTATTAAAGAAATACGAAAACCTGCCTGAAAAATCATTCCTCTCTGTTTCCAACGACCTACCTCAACTGGTTTTTAAATAATAATTTGTCAATCTCCCAAATAACAGCTATAATGATTATGCTACATTGTAACTGAAATCATTACATATCGATAAAGTATTTTAAATAAATAATTAACCTAATACAATTAAAAATATAAATATTTGTAAATTTGTCACAATTAAAATTTCATTACCATCCATACCCTAAAAATTAACTCCATGTACGAGATCAATGCCTTTACTGAGAAGGCGCCAAACACAAAGTATATTAAACAGATCAGTCGGCCGAGGCCAATACAAAAGTACAAAAGTACTTTCCCAATATACAAAAGTACTCTGTGGCCGAGGCAACTGGACGAAGTGGACCTAGAGTATGCTGTCAAAATTATTGACGATCTTTACATTGTTTTAAGAGTTTCGTCCATAAATCGCTTCATCACATTCCTTGGATTATACAAGATAATGTAAAATATAAATTATTATTTTTTTTTAAAAATACGTCTCTTTAATTAGTTTTGATCTATATTACAATCCATTGTCTTTTAATGTAAACTTTTATGAAGATAATACAGCAAATAATTGAAATTTTCATTCCACTCCATTTCATTCCTATCCGTACCATCCATTTTATTGTTGGAAGGTAATGAAGTCCTTTAGAAGGAAATGAAAAATATTCATTTAATTTTAATCTACGAGTTACTTTTCAGTTTTTAAGCGTACATTTATAATAATTTTAGCCTATGTGACTATACCTTATACGACATTATTATTTTATTTTACGAAAATGGTCAAAACGAGTACAAAATTAACTAGAGAAGAAAAATTAGCAAAAAACAGATTACGTAAAAGAGAAAGATAAAAAAAAAAAAAAAAACGACCCATAGCTGTATTCTATACATAAAGAAAACGAGAGAACAAAATATTTAGCAAGGAAAGAAAAGAAAAAAGTTTGTAGTATCAAAGACATGATCCCTAGAGCACAACGAGAACAAAGAAGACATTGGAGAAAAAACTCAAAAGTATTTAAAAAGGAAAGAAGAAAAAAACGAAATACATAAAATATTAATAGAAAACTTACCACCAGAGAGTGAATTGAAGATTAATGTTAACCCAGACCCACCTCGATCAGAACCCTTGTTGCTTGCTGAACCGGGACTGTCTTCAACTCCGAGTATTAAAAATGTAAGATTACTTAAGTTCAACAACGCAATAAGACGTTTGCGGTATACTCATTCAAAGACGGTGCAGAAATTAAAAGATGAAATTAATAAACTAAAGAGGGAGAACGATGCTTTTCGTAAACAAATTTATATAGGTCAACCAGAACATGATTCTGTCGAAAAAAGAATTGAAGAAGTTTTAATGGTAATACGACCCGAAAATAAAGAAGAAGTTAAAAAACAACTGTTTTTTAGTGAAAGTATATCACAGAACGTACAAGACATCTATAAAACAATACCTAAAAAGGAAAAAAAAACATTTTGCAGGACAGATAATTCATAATGAAGAAAGATTGAGGAAATATAAGCTACTTCATAAGTTGCCATTTGTTAGAAGAAAGAAAAACATTCATTCCTTTTTCGAAGAAGACACAAATAGTAGAGTTGCTGCGGGGAAGAAAGAATTTGTAAAAAGTTGAAGATTATCCCCGCGATGTTGTTTACAAATTAGAGTCAATGTTAATTCCATTCTTTAAGCACAACCTAAACATTACAGTACAGTACGAGGTTATTAACCAATTAAAACAAAATTTGTAAGATGATGAGATACTTGTAAACATAGATTTTAGTGAGAATTACTGCTTAAAATACAATCAGAAGATACAATCCCACCACTTCGGAGGAAGTCGTCAACAGGTATCCTTACATACAGGAGTTATTTACGATAAAAACATACAGGGTACCTTTCAAACAAAATCGTTTTGTATAATAAGTGATTGCCTAAAACATGCTGAGCTATATGGGCTCACTTATGCCCTATTTTAGAGATGGCTTATGAGCTAGTTTCGTTTAATACTGTACATTTTTTATCTGATTCGCCGACTAGCCAATGCAGAAATAAGAATATTTTTATATGTTTACAAAATTGAAAGACACTATCCCCAGTATTAATAGGGTGACATGGAATTTCCAAAAATCTGGCCATGGCAAAGGTGTCACGGATGGCATTGGGGCTGTTGTTAAAGGGACTGCTGATAATTTCGTAAAATATGGTGGAGATGTTGGTTCATTCGAAGATTTTGCGACTTTGATCATATAAAAAAAATGTACATTTTGAGATAGTTACAGAGAGTGACATCGTAGAAAAAGAATTCCCACCCAATGTTCCAGTATTTAAAGGTACGATGCAAATTCATTAAGTAATTTTACGCCGCCTTAGCTGCTTTTTCTGTCAAGATTGTAGCATTCCTTGTGTGCATAACAAACATTTAAGCTTCCTTTAATATAAAAAAATTACGGTGTAACACTTTCAGATTCAAATGAAACCCTTGAAGCCCATAACGATCAGTCACTAAGCATAGATATTTCCATAATTTTAAATAATATACACGAATCTTTTATTTTTGATGACTTGGAACCTCTCTCAGGCCCAATAATATATATATAGTACAACAAAGATAAGATCTCCAAAAGTAAAGATTTTATCCGATATCCGTTTGAGTTGGGAAAATCTTCAATTTTTAGAGACGCCAACTAAACATTTAATTCCAAAAAAACTCTATTTAAATAATAATGAGCACCAGCTTCAATTCGAAGCATTTATTCAGTCAAATAAATCAGAAAAAGAAAACAGTGTCAATAATTTATTTGATTCAGATGACAGTGACTAATTTAATATTTTTTGAGTTGTATTATGTAGTTACTTGTCGATTCCTTTATATATTGTGATTTAACTTCCAAAGATTAATAAGACTTGATATTATAATCCGATTAGTTTTTTTTTATTTCGCATTTATGACTGATTATGACTGACTTTATTCTCAAAAATAGAACAAATTACTTAATTTGAATACGCATCTAATTAAAATCATTGTTTACCTAATTATTTCATTACCATTCCAGCCATTTTCTTACCATCCCCTCTGATTTCATTACAATCCTTCTCCCTTTCATTACCATCCATTCATTAAATTTCAAGGATTATTTTCTCAGTAATTAAATGAATCTAGTGACCAACCTAACTTGTTAATATACAAATAAAACGTGAAAATACGACTTTTTTTTTCATCCACGGAACGTTCAAATTTGCACGAAACGGCGGAATGAGCCACACACGTTATATTGTAATCTGATCTTTTTTTTTAAAAAAAGAGCGACTTTAGAGTTTCTTGCCGGTCTTCTCAATATTTGCCTTGAACTTGCCTTCCAAACTGGTGGTATCTGACTTACGAATTTATATATCAATTATTATGTAAAAGACGACGTTTCATAAGAACGCGCAAGTATATATTATATAGTACAATTGGCAAAAATGTAGTACGATACTACATATTATAGTACAGGAGGCAACCCTAGTCCTGTACATATAGGTGTAAATTTGTGGTTCTCTCTAGGGATGTGGTAAATGAAAAAAAATTATATACCCGGCAATCGTTGTTTTGCCATATAAATTATTTGTAGGGTAGAAAAATGTTTGGGGTGGACCACCCTTAACGTTTAGTGGGATGGAAAAATAGATGTTGTCCGATTCTCCACCCTGGCCGATATGCACACAAAAAGTCGTTTCGGAGTAGTTCAATTACAAACATCGTGACACAAGAATTTTATATATTAGATTTATTACAATATCAATATCGGTCTCGATAGATCGAGTAGAAAATATCGGTCAAATATTCAGACTACCCTATGAGAAAAAAAAATTAAGCTGCCGTAAATTTGATAAAAAATTTCCTTTTAATCAGCGATGGTGTAGGCGCTTGACGCAGTTAATCACCGATCGTTTGATTCAGTCTGGCGAAACTAGGAACAAAAAATTTTTCTATGGACTTTACATGGCAAATAATGGCGAATATTGCTATCACAATCCCTCAATGCGGTTTCTCTTTCTTGCAATACAAGAAGTTCCATGTTGTTTGTTAAAACTTCATTTCGCACCGCGTATTTTGAATGTAAATGCTTATTTCATTGTAGATTTACATTGTTTAGATTATTTCTCACGAAAACTTAATTCAAAATGGTTAAAAGACGGTTATTACCTGGGAAATTTGTGAAAATCGAGCAAGTTGTT